CCACCCACCTGGGCCCTGGCCTTTGAAGTCCATTCTCTCTTTCCCTCTCCCCAGCGGCCCTTGGGAGTTTACAACATTTTCGTTTGGGACTTTCTTAAGGATGCGCAGGAGTTTTCCGTCTTTGCCATATGTACTTGCTGTTCTTCCTAGTGATGTCTTTAATTTAATATGGAAATTCATGTTTAAATCACTCTCTTAATCCTGAGGACAGCTGGGGTGCTACCATGGTTACCTGCCAGGCACAGTAACCTGTCTCCAGCAGCAGGAGACCACAAGGGACTGGGCCCTGAGCTCAGTCACCCCACCTTGGAGCCCTCACAGAGCTGACTGCATAGACACAGCAGCTCTGACTTGCAAAGTCCTGCTGCGTGGCCCAGTGAGGCCCAGTGGGAGAGCATGGGAACCACACTGATGGGCATAGAGATGGGGCTGGGCTGCCATGGGTGCAGGGGATGGCCCTGTCCAACCCTACAAGGCCTGCAGCTGTGTGAGCTCCAAAGAGCCCTGTTTGTTTGTTTGTTTGTTTTTTGCCATACCGGGGATCAAACTCAGGACCTTGCGCTTGCCAGGCACGCGCTTGTGCTCTTGAGGGTTCTGTGACTCTCCTTACATGGAACCTCAGCACCCTTCCACCTGGCCCTTTTTTTTTTTTCTCAGTACTGGAGATTGAAGCCAGGGCCTTTCCACAGAGCTACATCCTCAGCCCCTTTTAATTTGTTTTTACTTTGAGACCAGATCTTGCTAAGCTGCCCAGGTAAGGCTCAAACTTGAGATCCTCCTGCCTCAGCCTCCCACAGACTGTTAGGATTTCAGGAGTGTGCCAATCCCAGCTGCCACCTGCAAGGGATGTTGGACCTCACTAGAGAGAGCTATCAGGCTTAGCCCTGGAAAACGGTGATGCCCAGGGCAGGCTGAGCAGGACAGAGGGAAACTTCACAGGTTCCAACTAAGACACCAACAAAGGCAAGACAAGAGTGAAACTGCTCCAGTTCAGAGAGAAACGGAAAGATAGTGTCACAGGGGCAAACGCAGAGGGGAATCGGGTCCACTCATGTAAAGCCGAACAGTAATACCGCTGATTCAAACACCTAAACCTACAAAGAGCATCAAAGCAAAAACAAGAGTGCGTCTGGCTCCGCCCCACCCGCTGTGCCCCCCACCTGCCCTCAGCCTTGCCTGGCACAGCTGCTGTCAGTGTGCTGGGCACTGGCGGCCAAGCTGCCCAAGGCCCCTACAGATGTGCTCTGGCCTTGTTTCATTTACTTGCTGTTATGGGCTGGGGGATATTTTTGCAAGGGAGAACAATGTAATACAGGACACATATTTTATATGATTATGTATAATAATCACCAAAAGAACAATATATAAAAGAGTGCAGGAAATCTGTCCACACACTATAGACCAGGAATCTAGTTGAGGGCCTGGATCCTGTGATAATGTCCAGCATGAGTCCAGCTGAGGACCTAGAGCTCATAATAATGCCTCCCATGAGTCCACCTGGAGGCCCAGAGCCCATAACAATATCTCGTGCAGGCCTGTTTCACGGATCTATGCTGCAAAGGCCCAAAGGTCAGTGGTGGAATCTAGCAAGTCTGTGCCAGCAGGATGAAGGATCTGTGCTAGCAGGCTGAGGAATCTGCATTGGAGCCAGGAAGCCACACTCAGAAGAACCAGAGCTCCCCCGAAAGGTACCACAGTCATCCTCAGCAACAGTGAGGTCCCAAACTCCTCCGATGATCAAGATGGCCGAGTTCCCATCAGGGAAGCCAATGCAACAAGCTTTTCCAGGAGACAGGGAGTGCACCATCTTCCCCTTCAGAGCCAGCAAGCAATGCTCAAGGTAAGGACCAGAGCTCCACCAAAGTGAACCAAAGCTATTCTCAGTGCCCACAGGGTCCCAAGCACCTCAGAAGATAAAAACAGCCAAGTTCATCAGGAAAGCCAGCATGACGAGCTCCTCCAAAAACCAACAGCTCCTTACAGCTTCCACCAGCTCCAACAGCCTCCCTCAGCTCCCAACAGCCTCGCCTATTTCTTCTCCAGTTCTGCCTCTTATGCTGCTGGCAACAGTCCCCAGGAGGGCCTCCCACACCCAGCACCACGCTTACTCAGTTCATCTGGGGGTTAAAATTGACCACCAGTTTTCAATCCACTACAGTTTCATTTTATTTTAAAATCTTAGCTGTTGAGAACTTGCTTTCTCCTTCACTATGGATATCTTTCTGCATCAGAAATACACATTTTCCAAATTGGGGATGGTGGCCCATGCCTGTAATCCCAGCACTCTGGGAGGCTGAAGCAGGAGGGTGGCAAGTTCAAACTCAGACTGCACAACTTAATGACTTAGTGAGACCCTGTTACAAATTAAAAAAAAAAAAAATTTAAAGGGCTAGGGATGTAGCTCAGTAGGAAGGCCCTGGGTTCAATCCCCAGCACCACCCAGAAAAGGGGGTTGGGGTGGGAGGGACTACCTACAGATTTATCTCAGTAGCGATGCTGAGTAAAGCAGCTTCAGAGTAGCTCTGTGAGGCCCCGGGGTGATTGCAAATGACTGTAAGTGCAGCGTGCTCTGTATCACCACCTGTTTCTACCACGCAGCTAGCACACCATTGATTTGCATACCGCAGAGCCAGGCTATCAGTAGATCTTAAGAAGGATGCAAGATAGTCAGCTAATTTTAAAGCCGAGGGTTCTCACCATAAACGTGTCAAGTGTCTCCCCTACAACTGGGAGAAAGTGGCCGTTGGGAAAGTCTGGGTGACATTCAGTAATTATAGATGAGGGGAATGGATCACCACAGGAAAGAGTGGAAAAGCTGGTGGAAATCATCCATTTTTATCTTGCGTCAGAAGAGAGTCCTAAAGTACATCATGAAGAAAGACTAATTTACCATTTAATGCCTCCGTCTCAAACTGTTGAAGGTAAATCATGAGGGAACCCAAAAAGACCAAACAAGGGGGGTTAAGAAAGGAGACTTTCTTCCTGCAACAGATAAACCGTGGGGCGCGTCTGTGATTCCTTGCATGTGTTGCAAAATTTCTTTTCGTTCTACAGCTTCAGACATTAAGAAGGGCAGAATTCATTTCTCCCACTCTGATGAATCATGTTATACCAGAGGTTCAGCCGGGGGTGATTTTGCCTGTCCTCCCCCAGGGAACATTTGACAGTGTCTGGAAACATCTCTGACTGTCAGATCTGGAGGTGGTGCAGGAGGGGGTGCTACTGGTATTAGCGGGCAGAGGGGGCCACGCTCCTAATGCACACGATGGGCCCCCCAAAGGGGTGACCCAGCCCCAGGGGTCGGTAACAGCCAGGGTGAGAAGTGCTGTGCTGTATCGCTTCTCAAGGGGTTGTTTTGCTTGCTAGCAGTTCTGATACCCTATGCAATTGCTCAGTAGACACCTCAGAAACTGAGATCACATTGTTTTCCTGTGAAACGAAACCAATCGATCCTAAACCCCCTCTAAAAAAAAAAGAGTGAAAATGCTGCATGAGAGTGAGTCCACATGTAAAGCCACAAAGTGAGGTTAGCCAGTAGCACTCAACCTTCTAGGCAGGAAAGAGATGGCTTCAGACCCTTGGGGGTGGGGCAGGCTTCCATGAAACTAAACCAGGCGTGTCTTGAAGGTAGCCTGAAAGTCCGAGCTATGTTCCATCCTGGGACTATACCTTAAAACCATTTCTATCTTAAAGGGAAGGAATAGGAGCTTAGCTTTTCCTGTGATTAGTTGCCTAGTAAGATACACACATGCAGGTATACATATATGCATGCACTGGAGTCTTAGGAATAAAATCCAGGTCAAGGTTAAGATGGCCCCAAAAAATCATCTTGTGTTTTTTGTGGAGTGCACATGGCCTCTGATCGTGCCTGAGTCCGGCGTAACTCAGTGCCCAGCTGGCCCACACCCCCAGTGGCATCCACAGCCTGGATTTCCCCCGGCAGAGCCTGCTGGGTGTCTCCTCGCCTCGTACGGTATCTGCCCTGAAGGTCGCCATTGTCTGAGGCCAACACAGGATGTTCTGGGAACCCCCCCTCCCCGCCCCGGGAAGGCGCAGCAGGGTGAACATAAACTGTTTATGTAAAGGCAGGTGGTAACCGACTGCGGGTGAGCCACAGCTGCATAAATAGATCCAATGAGGCTTCAGAAAAATCCTGCAGTGACCACAGGACCGGAGACGATGGGAATTCTAGGCAGGAGGCCTCCTCCCCAGGAGGGCCACCACTTCTGGGGCCAGGAAAACCCCTCCTGGGGCTTGGGGCCGAATTCAGTCTGCTCCCACCTGGCCCAGCTGTGCAGAGCAGGGCATTTCCCTCTAACCCTGGCAAGCTACTGGAGCTTCGCCGCAGTCTACCCACCGGCCACAAACGTGAACAGGCTGGAGGCCAGGGGGCCGCATGGCAGCCGTCCGGGAGGTAAATGAGGGGTTCCCTCCAAATCAGCTCAGCTCTGCCTTCTGAGTTTCCATGAGAGGCGGGAGATCTGCTGATCCTTATTTATTTTTAAGCTATCATAAACTAAATGATTGGTTCCTATTAATGACCCTAATTATTCAGCTCCTCTTTCTAAATGCTGGTCTTTCAGCATGCTCGAAGTGGGTGGCTTTAATTAGGCCTAATTGTAGATACGTCACATCCAAATATACACCCTACATGATGATTAACAGGGTTTGGAATTTAGATCACTAAGTAGGGGTTTGTAATGGGATGATGGCGCACACCAAGCTGAACTGTATCCTAGAAATTACTTTTCTGATAACTCAGACAGTGGAGCGGGTTGTTTGTCAGAGTCATTTGGGATACAGCCTAACCAGCCTCGGGAGGGGATTTCTCAGCAGTGGCTGTCGAGTTCCCGGAGCTTGTCTCCTTGAGGCTCTGAGTTGGAGGTGCTGGTTTTGATTTTCTTTTGGATCTGTAATCCCAGATGTCGTCCTCTAACTTGGTAAAATGATTTTATCATACAGAAGCGCTAATCCTAAATAAAAACAAACAAGCCACCCACCTCCTCTGTAGAGTCCAACCGTTCCCTCCAGTCCTTCGCTAGAAATCAGCTTTGTATCGCTGACAGGACACTCTCCAATCCTTACCCAGCCCAATCGGGCCTGAGCCTCCACAGCACAGCATTGCTGCTTCCTGTATGTTAGAGGAGAGGGCCTGGAGCTCTGAAATGCTAGGCAACCAGCACAAGATCTCCCAGGGTAGAGCTGGACTTCGGGCAGATCTGCTTGTGATTTCATCTGCAAGAATGGAAATCTGACTTCTTCCCACAGCCTGGTTCAGGCCACATGGGCGGGGCAACCTGCAGCCAATCAGAGGCCAGCCTAACAAATGCACTGTAACTCAGCCCTGCACCTGCACTCCTCCACCTGCCACCTGTAGTGGACATGCGCCCTCTACACCCGCAATGGGTTTGAAGTTATTCCAGGGTCTGTCACGTGCCAGGTTGTCTTCATGCTCGCTCCTGTGCTGACTGATCCCAACGCTGCAGACAGTATGAGCAGAGAGTTGGTCTGATCACCGCTGGAGTGTGCGGAGTAGACATCAGCCTGTTTAGATGCAGTAGTGAAAAATGAATGAGCCACAGACACAGTCATCTCCAGATGACTACTTTTAGGCTATTTTTAGCAAATTCTTCCCTGTGAAAATATGTTCCTGGTACTCTGATGTGCAGACTAAAACGCTCCATGACAGGGGAAGAGAATTGGCAGTAGGTGGGACTGAAATTAGATCTCCTTTCCAAGGTGACCCAAATTGGGTCCCATTCCTTGACCTTAACTTTCAGCTGCATGGGAAAGGAATTCTTTTTCCCAAGGTCAGAGGTTGGGAAGTCGAGAATTCAGACATGGTCGCAGTCTATGTGCAGATGTGACCTTTGGATATTTAGTCACCAGTGTAGTTGACTCGGGCAAAGTGGGCAGAGAGATTAAGGTCAGGAGTTTAGTACCAGGAATATCTCCCCCAATATTCGCTGTGTGACTTCAGTCCTGTAACCAAACCTCTCTAAGCCGCTGATGGCCTGCATCTATAAAAGTGGGCTGTGATTTTTAAATTATTGGATTGCCATGGGGTTTAAATGAATGGATGGTGATAAAGTATCTTTGCATAATAAACCCCATTTGAAAGTCAAAGGAGAGGCTATTTTTATGTGAGCATTTTGTTCTCCTAAAGTTAGAATATTCTGATAGTATTGCATAGCAAAGTTACCATAGTTCTCGAATACTCTCTAATACACTGACAACGCAGAGAAGTAGCTGACCCTAAGCCCCATGGACACGTTACATCGGTCTCGATGGTGGTCTGTTGGCCAGGGTCAATGCCAAGAATGAGAAAAGCAGAAGGCTAATGTCATAGCGATAACAAAAGTGCCACTCCTAAAACCCCCAGGTTCTTAACTGCATCATTTTAAAGTTTTATTTTTTAAGACCCAGCTACAGCTGTCCCGTTTATCTGTCCACTGATCGCAATCCCCTTGGAAATAAATTCATTGCAAGTGGACTTTTCTCAGTGTAATTATCCTCTGGGACTCAAGGACATGGGCAGAGAAACTCGCATGTCCCATTTCATAGAAAAGGGAGATAGTGGTTTCACAGATTATGTTCCATCTGTTAGGTACAAATGCAAGGCAAATACAAGTTGGCTGGGGTGTAATGGTCCTTGGGCCACCAGTGAATCAAATGAATACAGGGGGAAGATGAATGTCACAGAAAGTGAAAAGAAGAATCAGGTATGCAGAAACAAACCGTGGTGGCACGGTCTGTGATTATCTCCCCGCCTGGGCTCCCCGGAGCCCGCCCACTGGAAGCCAACACATCACAGTGTTTCTGCTCAAGTGCTCAAGTCTTGTACAGAGAGCTCATGGCCTGAGCGACTTCCAGGTGCACACGGAGCATGGTTTCACACTGGAACAATCCTCCTGGAGAGATAGTTGTGAGTTCCACGACACCCCCACTGCCCCCTCCCACCCGCCTTCCCCCATCCCATCCCATTTGCCTGCATCCCTTGCTCTGAGCCAAGGCAAGGGTTGCATAAACTCAGTGTCCATGTGAGTCCACTCCCAGCCTTCCCACTGGTCTCCATGCAGCGAGGAATCCCTTTACCAACCTCCTAAACCAGCGGACTCTAGGACTCTCGGTTACCAGCCCTCATGGTCCAAAAATGATTCATCCATCCCTCCACCACAGTAACATGAGTCACATGTTATGGAAAGCTAAGAGGATGTATTCTATGTACACAGAAACGTAAGGTTTGCAAATTTCTGGGATTTCATTTTACGGAGACGGGAGACATGCTTTCCACATTTTTTCAAAGTGAATCGTACCAAAAACAAGAAAATCCACAACAGGCAACATCTGCATGAATCGTTCTCCAAGGACTCCATGTAAATGATTGTTGATATAAATAGATTTGCTTTTAAGCAAAGACAGATGTCCCAGATCCAAATGTTAAGAAAACACATAAGACAGTTAAGTTCAAAGACTTGGCTTTCGTGTCTTTCCTAGTAGGTGAATCTCCACGGGACTATGACAAGGAGGGGTGGAAGGAAGAACATTCTGTTTCCTAATAAAAAGGCGTGCAGTGCTGAGGCGCAGGTGTGGGGGCGCCCACAGCCCCTGGGGCGGCCGCTCACCTCCCTGGAGCGGCTTTGGAGGCCTGGGCCGTGAGCCGCCCTGTTACTCATGCATTCTCTCCGCATGCATTGATTTATTTGAAGACTCCTCTGCCCAGACCTCCTCGGAATATTATTTCAGCGAGGATTCAGTGGGAGGCATTGGGAAATCAGTCACGGGAACCTGGGGGTCAAGTGAGGCTGACATCAACGAAAGAAGGATCCAGAAGCCGACGGGATTCTGAAGCCAGGGCAGACCTGGGAAACCTCACTACCTCCCATTTCTCCACGTAAGGACCCTGAATCGGAAAACAACAAGCAAATCTGCATTTTATGTGGGAGGAACATTCTCAGTGAGGAAACTAGAACTGAGCTGAAAGGGTCATTTACAAATAGAAAAATGCACATTGCTGGTGTGGCAGGCACGATGTCAGAAGCAGGTCACACACACGGACTGCGGAGAATGTAAGAGTGCACAGGAATTAGACATTAAAAAATTAGAGTTAGAGGCCAGGAACATTACAATCACACCATCCTTTACACAGTATGAATTTCTACCTGCTCCTACCAAATCGGCTTTTCCTTTCCTTCCACAAGGGTGTGACCAAGACTCTCTTGACTCCTGGAATTAGCTTAGGAAGGGAAAAAGCTGGCTCTGCATGGAGCAGTTGGCACTGCCCCACTGGAAGAGGAACAAGCCGGAAGGTTGGTTCTACCAGGGCATCCCAGGTCCCATGGTACCGGCACAACAAAGGAGAACCAGGACCCCCACCAGGAGGGCGGGGCCGCCTTTCTGACCAGTGAGCACGCCCCTGGCCTTGAACTGAAGGTAGAAAATCCCAGCTTTTGTGCCGTTTGTCATACAGCCAAATGATCCAGCACTCGGTCCTTTCTCAAACTATCCAAAAAGGACCGCAAACAAAGCCCTAATTTTGAATCACTTTAGGATGTAGGTTATACTCTTCCCGCACCCAAGCATTACTGTCGATTGGAAACTGCCACCAGCTTGTGAGCACAGGCTGGGCAAAGTGTCAGAAACTGGGAACAGTTGCTAGTTGTGTCACTGGGAAGCCAGCATCAGTCCCTAAGCTGAAGGTCTGGTCTCCATGCTCCCAGGCACTGGTGAGTTTAAATGTCATGATACTGCAGAGGGGACACACGAAGACAGACACTGCAAAGAGGCCACAGGCCAAGGCCGATGTTTGCAGACCTGGCATAGAAGTGACAGGCAGCTCTCTACCCTGTCCCTGGGCAGAAGGAAGACTGCATTTCTCAGCCTCTCTTGCAACAAAGTCCGCCAGTGCTTTGGTTCTGGCCCATAGAATGTGGACAGAAGTGACGGGAACTACTCGTAGACTTGGCCAGAAAGCTCCTTGACTGATCTGCAACAAACTCTCCCTGTTCTGGGACGAGCTTACAGCACACATAATGAAGATGGTGGCCTCACAAGGTGTAAGGGGACAGAATTCCTGAGCTGACCACTTGACAGAGAGCTCAGGAGAGCTCCCCAGCCTGCGTCAGACTGTGGAAGATGGGAACAAATCTTTGTTAAGACACTAAGATGTGAAGATTGTTTGTTATAGCAGCTACTATATGTCTTCCTGATCCTCCATCTACTTGCTGGGAATTCCAGATAGGCCCCCAGCAAGGGTGAGCCAAGTAATTTATTGCCTGGCATTTTGCTGATCAGGTGTGTAGCTCAAAATCAACCCCTAAAGATCACAGAAGGGAAGAGAAAGAGAAGCCAGGAATGAAGCAGAGGGAAGCGAGGCTCCCTTGGGGACTAAGTCCTGTAGGATTCCTGGGGCGAAAGGCATCAAGAGCATCTCAGCTCCTTCCCTAGTTCTAAGCGCAGCTGTTCCCAGGGCATCCTTGAACAAGAGTGTTCCTTATTCCTCAATGCAGCCAACCGTGACACCCCACAGCCCTGCTAAGTAATTCGGTGACTCAAACTGTGGGGCCAAGAGGGGGGTTCCTTCCAAGTGTTGGAGCCAAGCCCCTTTCTGGCCACACCTTCACTCTGGTCACTGGTACACTTTCCACGCTCCAAGTCTTCATTTATTTGGCTGTGGACAGCATGTTAATTCCCCACCCTTCTTTACTCTCTAGGTAAACCATGCACTCCTTTTAAGTTTGTTTACTCCATCCAGCAATTCCTGGCTGTGCACCCAACTCTGTGGCAGGAGGGCTGGGGCAGATTTTGCCCTCAAAGAGAGACAACATAATGTGCAAAGGTTAAGAAGACCTCAGCACCTGCTCCCATGTATGGGAGGGACCTGAGGAGAAGAAAGACATAAACTCCGAGTGGGGGGCTTCCCAGGGGAGGTGGGCTTCGAGGGACCCTGAATGATGATAAGAACTTGGAAGAGTCAGGAAAGGGACATTATGAGAGAGTTCTGGAGGTCAGGAAGCATGTGGGGGGAGACGGCAGAGAGAGTGTGAGTGCTGTGGAAGCTTCTGTGGGAACAGAGGGGTAAAGGGTTCAGGGAGAAGCATGAGAACAAGTCTTAGAGAAAGATGTAGGTGGGAAAGTGAACATTCAAGTGCCTGGAACCACATCCTAATGCCTGGGACCTGTGACTATGTTACCTGCCATGGCCAAAGGGACTGTGCAGGTG